TGGAAAAATGCTTGGTGTCCTCCTATTTTACCTCATGTTAGCCTTTCAGCCAATGCATTCAAAGGAGGATGATATTTTACCACTACATTAAGTTAAGCTTCAAAAATTAGTTTTATTATGATTTACCAGGACATTAAGTTAAGTTTCAAGAATTAGTTTTATTATGATTTACCAGGACATTAAGTTAAGTTTCAAGAATTAGCTTTATTATGATTTACCAGGACATTAAGTTGAGTTTCAAGTATTAGTTTTATTATGATTTACCAGGACATTAGGTTAAGTTTCAAGAATTAGCTTTATTATGATTTACCAGGACATTAAGTTAAGTTTCAAGAATTAGTTTTATTATGATTTACCAGGACATTAGGTTAAGTTTCAAGAATTAGTTTTATTATAATTTACCAGGACATTAAGTTAAGTTTCAAGAATTAGTTTTATTATGATTTACCAGGACATTAAGTTAAGTTTCAAGAATTAGCTTTATTATAATTTACCAGGACATTAGGTTAAGTTTCAAGAATTAGCTTTATTATGATTTACCAGGACATTAGGTTAAGTTTCAAGAATTAGTTTTATTATGATTTACCAGGACATTAAGTTAAGTTTCAAGAATTAGCTTTATTATGATTTACCAGGACATTAGGTTAAGTTTCAAGAATTAGTTTTATTATGATTTACCAGGACATTAAGTTAAGTTTCAAGAATTAGTTTTATTATGATTTACCAGGACATTAAGTTAAGTTTCAAGAATTAGTTTTATTATGATTTACCAGCTAAAAGACCTTTAGAGAGTATCTTCCATTACCATTAATCTCCTTGGTTAAACATCTCAATGCAAATAATTTCATGTTTTCCACATGGGTAAATGAGAACAGTACACTTGCTTTTAAACCACAATGATCTGTTTACATGGATAGTCACATCGTTTTAAAATTAACATTTAGGGAGAGGTTTTAGTTCATTGTTCAACTGAAAATGGATCAAATGATAATTTAAATGATATGTGTTTAGGAAAATTAAATTTGTGATAGACTGTCATAAACTATCAAGTTGGGAATCATTGTTTGGCCTAAATTATTTAAACATGAAAAATTATTTAATATTTATTAAATAAGTAAAACAAATGAGGAATATTAAGTTTTGTCCAGGTCAATGTATTACAACAAACTTTTAAAATTACAAGCCCCTTATTTGTTTCTTTTATTGACTTGATGGTCAGAGGAAACAATCTTTCATATCTGTGGTTCTCAAACCCTTGTTCCTTGATACATTAAAAGTTTGCGAAGCATGATTTTATTTTTATATCATTAGCTTCAAAGAGGTAAAATGTACTCTTTAATTATTTATTTTATGATCATTTGAATGTATGTGTATGGTCTTATGTCTTGTTGGTTGATAAACACTTCTGTGAACTCTTTGGTGAATGTATGATTAATTTGAATGCTAACTCTTGTTTCATCCAATGTTTAAACAAATTGTTCATTTTTAATTGACATAAAAATGATAAACCAAGATGGCTGTTATATGGCTATTTTGTTTGCCAACTATTGATTCATGCTGTTTGTGGTATTGGTTCTGTTGAGCTTAGCCAAATACATAAAACTATGTTGTACATTGTGTTTTCAAAACAGTTGTTTGCGTAACGATGCACCAAAGCAAAAAGTATTGATGGGTTGTCACAAGTTATTCATTTATGTCAAACATTGGGTTGATAGGCTGTCACAAGTCATTAATCAATAACAATCATTATATATTGTACCAGCTATTGTATGTCATGACATTTTTAAACAAAACAATACTCATATTTCATCAGGGTAGTTTTCATAATGTCCATATCTTCATTAAAAACATAAAGCCTAATCATTCAAGGAGTACTACTGTACTAGCTGGGACAAAGCAGCCATGTCGCACGTGTAAAATACAGGAAGATGTGCAAAATCTATAATAATAATTCCAGATGGCCGTCCATATATCCAACAATGCTTAGTTGTATTGACTCTAAATAGAGTGGGTAGTGACGGGTGCAGATGTTGTTTTGATGGCTTGTAAGTTGTCAAAGAGTGTACGAAATCAATAAGCACATGAAATCAGTTACCATCATACCTGTGAATGCACCATGTCTGTTAAAACACTTCCTATAACTGTACAAATTCAATATTCAAAAGTCAAAACCAGTCATACTTCAGAGCAACCTTAAAACCTTCAGTAGGCAATGTAGAACAACAAGTCGCTTTTCCAGCTCTTAAGCAAAAAAAAATTAATTTTGATTTAAATTTCAATGGATTTAATAATAATTCAACGCCTGTTACAAATATTTTACCCCTTAACTCCCTTGGGGGCGGACAAGATCCTCTCGGGAATTATTATTATAGATAGGCATACATTTTGAGATCTATTACTTTTACTAAAACTTTAAATGTTTAGTTATTTGCTTCAGTCATATTTGGAAACATCCTCCTATTGGCAATGGTTAAAGTGTTCCGTCAATAGGTTAGAGTTTTATAGTTATTGATCAAAGAACTAATAACCTATTGGTATTAGATTAAACCTTTTTGTTATTTACCAATGGCAGTGAAATTTTTTAGTTTTATTGATAAGTAACAGGCCATAGGACATGTATCAAAATGGCCACTGGATCAGGATTGAAAAGGGGAACAACTGGTGCTAAACGAAACTGTTTTCAAATACTTTGACATCATTCCTAATGTCGTGAATTTTAGATTATTTTCATGTTGAGATCCCAATATTCAGTGATGAAATGACATGGACCCTATGGATATTGAAACTTATTTAGACTTCTCCCGTGTCTAATTATCAAATGACACATTCACTCCCATAATAATCAGAAGGTCATGGGTTGAATTTTAAATCTGCAAAAATCTGACAGGCATAGAAACTAAAATATATGCAATATGTCAATTTATGTTTTAAGCATGTTAGCATATTTTTACCAAATATTTTTGGTATCCTGTAAAAAAATTATGCCAACTGAACTATTAAAAAAATATAGGCTACAATTTCTAACCCTTTCATACTGTGAAAATATATCGTTTTTTAACTATTTTTTAATGGAACCAATTACTGCATGATAACTGATAAATGTAGAAATATATTTGTATCTTTTATTAAAAGCATAAATTTAAAAAAAGCCTTGTCACATTTTCAGAATATTTGAATTGAACTTATCATGTGTAACTAGGCTCAAATTATCACATTCTTATGTGTTTGTCATTCGAAGTCTATTCAAGAAAAGACATGTTTTGTGGATATTTTAATATTTTCATCATAAAATGGAAGCTTTTGGGCCTCCTTTATTATTCTCATTATTTTATTTATAATTGTTTAACCACACATGGCTAGTAGGTCTCACAAGTCACTAGACTTCATTTCTTCATGTAGCTACCAGCTTTCACAAGAAAGACTAGATCTCTCCAATTAGCTACCAGGTTTCACTCTCTCAATCTAGCTACCAAGTTTAGCAAGACAATAGCCTTAATCACTCCATCTAGCTATCGGGTCTCACAAAACATTAGTCTTCAACCCTCCATGTGGCTAGCAGGTCTATAATGTTAGTATTTTAGATAAAGAAAAATCTGCTCTATTGCAAATGTTTTGAACAAGAAAACTATGGATTTGGTATATGCATATATTTTAAGTCTATCTAACACCTCATTCATGAGCAAGGAATGTGTGACAATATTCATTTCATATCTAGTCCATCCTGTACAACAAATTAATTTATTTCCAATTCATTGTTTTTGACCTTCAAGTAATGACAATGAAATGATGTTATTAGTAATTAACAATAATAGTGCAGGTAGCTCCTTTTACTCATGTATCTAACAATTTTATGAAGTATGTTCCTAGAAAAATAGATTTATTTATAATAATAGTGCAGTATTTCTGAACTTTATTTGGTAACTTCATTGATTAGTTTATTAAATAATTACTGGATCAGGTTGAAGTGTTTTTATAGCATGTTGAAATCTCCCGTCTAATCAAGGATGGTATAACTTCTTCTATCATACTCCCTTCTAATCAAGATGGTATAACTTCTATCATATGCCCTTCTAATCAAGATGGTACAACTTCTATCATATGCCCTTCTAATAAATGGTGGTAAAACTTCTATCATATTCCCTTCTAATCAATAATGGTAACACTTCTATCATATTCCCGTCTGATCAAGGATGGTAAAACTTCTTCTATCATACTCCCTTCTAATCAAGGATGGTAAAACTTCTATCATACTCCATTCTAATCAAGAATGGTAAAACTTCTATCATACTCCCTTCTAATCAAAAGTGTGGTAAAACTTCTTCTATCATACTCCCTTTGTATTCAGTTATTTAAAAGTAAACAAAACACACACCCCAGGCAAAACTGGAGGAAACAAATCGACATCAGAAATATACTGGAACAATTCTTATGAAACTGTATCTAAAGTTAAAAGGTCTTAACAATCAGATTATCTTAAAAGATGTGCCATTGTGAACAAATGAGTCATTGTTCTCATAAGTTAGTCATTCTTGAACTGGAAAATTATTGTCACCTGACAGTTTATTTAATTTACATTATTTTGTTGTATTTAATAGAAATGCTTAATGTTGGATTTCAAATTTATTGAAGTCATGATAATTGTTTTAAGAAGGTAAATGGACCAAAGAAAGTTCAGATGTACTGCAATAGAACTAGGCTTTTGTGTGTCTGATCATAGTCTTTGCCAGGATGTCATTATCCTGTTTTACAACTTGCTGGTTGTAATTGATGAATCTGTGCAGATCTGAAGTATGCATGGAGTTAGTATGGAATTGAATGTATGTATTTATGGGTGAGTACAAGAGCTGATGTTCATGCTGTCTTCACAAATAAAAAATTTTGTATGATCTCAACCTGTTTTCACCCAAGTTCTCATACTGTATTGTGAATGAAAAAAAAGTACAAATTAAGAAAAGATTGTTTAGTCAATTCAATTTTTTTTTTTTTGCTGCTTAAGTTTCAGAAATAAAAATGTAAAAATGCAATATTTTTTAGCAGGCAAAGTAGTTCACACTACATCAATGCAAAACTATGGCAAGAATATATTTTCAATGCAACTCTGAAAATGTTAGGTTTAATTTATTTGAACAAAGCAAGGAAAGCCAATTTTAAATTAATTTATTATTATTAAAAACATTTTTGAATAAAAAATTTAACTTAAAATATAATTATTCTTGAAAGCCATGTTTAATAAGATGGTAGCATATACAATGCAATCTCTCTAGCTCTGGTTAATGGAAAATGACATTGGATTTCATCAACTTACTATAGCAGTTATAAAGATAAACAAGGAAAATAAAGTCAATACTACATAATATTCACCGGTGAATTTAAAAATAAATTATCATATAAATCTGTTTAATTTTAAATAATGCCCCCTCATGGACATAAAGATTAATACAGTAAGTAAACATCACATAATTTTAGCATAGTCATGTGATAGTTCATTTTTTTACCATATAAAGGCCTGCATAAGTCTGTAAGTTTTCAATATACAATTATGTCAACCTCTCAACATACATAAATTATTATATAATTTTTTTTTAATGAATCTGATTAAACATTTCACATAACACAGTAGGTTTATAACAATGAACATGGTTAAATCTAAAAATATAACAATTAACACAGTAGATCTAAAAATATAACAACACAGTAGATCTTTAAGAAGGGGTAATCTTGTCAAAGAAGATTACAGTGGAATAGATCACAAATGCTACAAGAATGAAGCATATTGCTATGATAAACATTAAATGGGTGGCAAAATAATTATTATTATTCAACTGTGGCAAAAATATTGCTACAATTAACCATTAAAGAGTACCATTAAGAGAAATAAACAATAACTTCGACTCAATTGATACTGAAAGTTCAATGTAAAGGAAAAAGTAATTAGTAGGTCAACGGATAATACAGGTTGTTCTTGAAACTTTGCAACAGATAATATTTTTAAGGCTAATGTGTTGAACTTTGTTAACTTCAAAGAGCATTCTGGACAAATTATTCGCACAATCATTCGCCTAATTAGTATATAAATGGAGGAAAAACATAAACAAATGAACTTGTCATCAATAGGGTAATGAATATCTGTTACCCTAAAATTACCCTAATATGCCATCATGTGGACCAATGTATTAATTTCTTACTGATCAGCTCAACACAACAAGTGTGCTGTGTGCTGATGCACAAGGGAACAGCAACATCTAATCAGTAATCCAACAGGTCAACATTGAATTTTTTTGAGATCAGTGGTTACACCAGGATATCAATCACAAGAAGAAAACTCGTGGAGTCAAGCTGTTAAACTATCATGGCTATTTCATTGGCTTAAAACTGGCCGATGATCATTTAATTATAATTAACAAACTCAAAGCCATGAGCATCTAAGATTTGACCTAGTTAAAGTTAAAGACAATAACGCCTGCTTCACTGAGGCATCTTTGAGCTCCAAGTGTTAGCTTTGCCTCCTCCACCCTGTATATAAAGCATAAAAAGAGTTAAAAGATTTTGTTCCTATACATAGACTGAACAAAATCTTAATTTTCTGATATAATAATTGATATGAGTTATTTGTTAGACAAAAATCTCCTGGTCTGTAGGCCTCATGACTGAACATCAAAACAAAAATCAAAGTTATCATCTTTTAAAATCTCTTTTCCCACCAGACTTTGCCAGCAGCCTGACATCTTTGATGACCATGTCATGTGTCACAGCTTTACACATGTCATACACTGTCAGGGCTGCAACACTGACAGCTGTCAGGGCTTCCATTTCAACACCAGTCTGTCCGACCGTCCTCGCCAGTGATGTGATCACAACTGATTGGCTCTCCTCGTCCAATGAACAAGTGACATCGACTTTGGTCAGGTTGATGTTATGACACAGGGGGATGAGCTGTGAAGTCAGTTTGGCTGACATGATCCCCGCCAACTGGGCAACAGTCATGACGTCCCCTTTTTTCATTTTGTTAGCGGCCACCAGTCTTGTTGCTTCTGCTCCAAGAAAAATGATCGCCTGAGCCCTGGCTTCACGCATTGTTGTAAGTTTACTTCCCACGTCAACCATGACTGCCTTGCCACTGGAGTCTGTGTGAGTGAGCCTAGGCACAGACAATTCTAGAGTTTCCTCATCACCATGTGAATCCCTACCATCAAGCATAACATTCTGGTAAATTTGTAGATATTTTTGCTCATCTGATGGACTACCATTGTCCGAATGAGATACCTCTTCTTTTGATTGGCCGGTTACTCCATGCATCAAATTATAGTAAGTTTGAGAGCAAGATTTAAACTTGTCCTCTAGTTTTTGAATTGCTTGCATCCTGACAGCTATGGGAATGGTCTGGTTAAAATTATCACAAAATTCAATCGAAATGTCACAGGAATGGGTCTTTAAATGTGATTTAGCTTGGTGCACATCAAAATGTCTTCCTTTGTCTGACGTAGACCTCTCAGACTGATCTGGTTGATTCAAGTTAAGAGTATTTGTATGCTTGCGTTTACAGTGAAGATCGCTTATTGTACAGTAAACATCACTGGTTTGTGTAAACAAAGTCGTAGAAAACAAAGACCCAAGAGTGGATCTGATGAACATGTTGACAACAGGACTTGAAAGTATCAATGAACGATTTGAGCTTTCATGAACAGCAGAGGTTGAGAAATATCGGACAGTAAAATATCTACTGAGAGGTGTTGGTTTTGTAAGAGTAAGAGTCACTAAATCAACAAATGTTGAATGTTTGTTAGATAAAAGAGTTCGACTATCTAATGCCACTGCAGCTTTTTTTTTCCTCCCTTCAGTGAAGAGCTTTTTGGTGATGTTTCCTGGGGATTAAAAGTTCTACAATCATTTCAGCAGTGATGCAACTTTAACAAATTGGTTCCTAAAAAAATAATTTAAGGGGAGATTTATTTTTGTAAATCAACTATTTCCTGCGAAATTATTTTTACACTGTTGACACTATAACTTTCTTTCCCTTTATATAAAATACATTTCTAATTTATAAATAATTTATTTGTTAAATCCATGATTATGGTGTTATTATACTAGGACTAAAAATATAACTTTATTGTCAATTAAACTGTCTTCTTTGATAAGATTAATAAGATGACGAATTTAGCTACGGAACATGTTTAAAATATTTTTTTATTGATGAAACATCATGAAATTTAATAAAGCCGTGAAAGTGTCTACAAGAGCTTTTCACTCATGGACAAACACAATGCACAGTCAAATCAACAAATAGGAGAAATACCATTTTACCCTCATTTTAGACTATTTGTGAAGGTAAATATCAGGTTTAATTAGGACACCCTCTTTGTACTTGTTGACATATTTTTTGTGAAGTAAGAAGTTTATTTTGCCAGGCCATTTTCTGCCATTCGGTTTTAATTCATTATTACAACTTACAGAAGACATGTAAATGTTGATTTCACCCACCAATAAGAATCATTGGACGGTTTTCCATCTTGGATAAATTTGTCATACCTGCAGCAAAGTCAAAAACATAAAGTAATTGGTATTTTCTTGTGTCCTTATTTTGATTTGTACTTGTCTGTCCTTTCAGTTGATTAAAGAAGAAACAGATACAATTGAAAACAGCTGGAAAGATTAGTTCAATTGGGATGTGCAAATAAGAAATTCAACTGTGATATGAATACAAGATGATTTCATCTGGGATATGCAGATAGATGAGTACAACCGGGATATGCAGTTAAGATGAGTGCAACCAGGATAGGTAGATAAGATGAATTTAACTGTGATATGAAGCCAAGATGAGTTCATCTGGGATATGCAGATAAGATGAGTTCAACTGGAATATTTAGATAATCCTTACCTGCATGTTGTTTCTTCTTCCTTTTGACAGCTGCTGACACTACCTCTAACAACTCATCCTCTGGCAGGCCCTGTCTCATTGCATCACGCAGCGAAACCTCGGAGTTGCCATGGAGACACACCTAGTGACACAGGGTTGAATACAGCTCATAAAAGTGATACAGAGCATAACAAAAGTGGTCATGGCTTTACCATTTAGGACATTACAATATAGCTCATGATTTGTATGAAACAAGCAAACAGAGGGAGCCAATCATTTAGATTTTTCCTCATTCCATACCAAGATAATTTTCAAATTTATTATCCAGTCCTAGACAGCATTTGGCGACCCCCTCCCCCTTTCAAACGCAGGTATAGTGACTTAACTTCCTACTTGTTGTAGGATAAACCTGCATGTTATTAAAAAGAGAATATCCTACCAGTGTAAACACTGACCTTCAAGTTGCCATCAGCTGTTATCCTCAGTCTGTTGCATGTGCCACAAAAATGCTCACTCATGGAAGTAATGAATCCTACCTGACCAGCAAAACCAGGAACCTTGTAAGCCTGCGGGGGGGGGGTGGGGGGGGGAGAGAGAAATCATGTAGACTTAAAAATCATTTTTATCTTTCCGACTCTATTCATGAACTTCTTTTTCTGTATGTTGCCCATATCAAACTAGTTCCTCATGGCTGCTGTAAGCCACCAACAGTTCCAATGTTATATTTTAAATTTGTATCCAAAAATTGCAAGCTGCACCAGGAATATAAAAGCACATCTATCTTTACATATCTATGACTAATGACTATGTTGTTAGTTAATTTAGGATTTGTCTTAGACTATGCTGCTTACTTCTGAGTCAAGTAGTTAAGATAAGATGAACGATTTATTCAATCTAGTGGAGTAATATGGTGCTACAGATAAATAGATTAATAATTACTGAGGCACAAACAATTTGTCTAAATAACAACAGTATATTATGTGAGCTGCTTTAATAGCAATGCTTCCTTGCCCAACCTTAGACGTGTCATTTTCCTTGTCAGACAACTTGACCAGTGCAGGCCAACGCTGGTGGATCTTCTCAAGCATTTCTTGATAGGAAACAAATTTCTTTGTGTTCCACTTGTTGCCACCGAAGGGCATGTATTCTATAAATCTCACATCCACTGGCTGTTAGTGGTAAAAAGTAAAATAATTATGCCTTTATTTTCTGGGTTAACTATTGTAAGGTGAGTTTTTTTTTCTATTAATACACATAGATTTTCTTGGGAAGATCTGCCATTAATATCATAAACACATCATAAAATAAAATTTAGCTTCAAGATTAGTAAAAAAAAAATATTTTGTTCTAAAATTTGTTAATTGTCAAAATATGCACTGTCTTATTTCATCACAACTGATAAGCTAAACATACCCACATCCATTATTCATGTTACAACCATATGACATTAAGAGTTTAAAATGTTGGCCATGTGCCACCCACCAGGTCTTATTCAGCGTGCCTCAAAACCACTTTTCAAAACAATACAAAAAAATCACTTGTAACAAAATAAGCTTTTCGATGTTAGACTTTCACTAAAGATTATACTTTGTGATTTCTGTCATGAAACAGTTAAGTTGGCATCAAAGACTTTCAAATTAATAACGTAAAACTGTTGGGCATAGTTTATTCATCATCTTGTAGTCATTGAAAGTGGCATATAAGACTTTCATGTTATTCAAAAATAAACTGTTGGACATAAGTTATACACTACCTTGTGTTCAGTAAAGGCCACAAAATCACAAATCTCATCATCATTGATTGCACGCATCACTACACAGTTGATCTGGTGAGAGAAAAACTTAGCAAGTAACGCACCACTAAAAAATACTTTAAATCAGAGGTTCTCAATGTGGGCCATATGAATTTTTTTTCCTGGGGGGAAAAAAAAGGGGGGGGGGCCACAAAAAACTTTCAATAAAAGATTTTATGTAAATAAAAAGAAGAGCTTTTTTATCTGGATTTTTTAAAAGTTGAGTAACACCAATGCAAAGCATAAATTTTTCCAATTGCATCCATTGCACATTTATTCTATTTATTACCTGCAGATTTTAACCACTGTGTAGTTACTTCCTTAATACTGAACACATCAGACATATAGGATTTGATCAGATTTCAAGCACTGTGTAATTACTTCCGTAATACTAAACACATCAGACATATAGGATTTGCTCAGATTTCAAGCACTGTGTAATTACTTCCATACTGAACACATCAGACAGCTAGGATTTGATCAGATATCAATCACTGTGTAATTACTTCCTTAATACTGAACACATCAGACATATAGGATTTGATCAGATTTCAACCACTGTATAATTACTTCCTGTCTACAGAACACATCAGACAGCTAGGATTTGATGGTTTAAGTTATGTCAAAATGTATCTTTATTTCTTTATCAAGTTAAAAGTAAAAATTATTGTTGGTTGCAGTGTACCTTTAAAGGATTATATCCTAACTCCAAGGCCTTGTCAATGCTTCTCATGACTTTATCAAAGCCTCGTCTTCTTGTGATGAACTCAAACTTGGCAGGCACAAGTGTATCAAGACTCAAATTGATCTGGTCAAGACCTGCAGCTTTCAGGTCAGGAAGTTTTCTTGCTAATGTTATGGCATTGGTTGTGATGCCAATATGTTTAAGACCAAGGCCACGGAACTCATTTAGACCTTCTGTAAAATTAAAAAATGTAAAACGTTTAGTTATTAGCTTAACTTTTTTAGGACTACATGCAATTGTTAGCTATTAATTGCAGAATTATAAAATAGAATACTGGGTATGAACCATAATGAGAAAGTATTAAACATTTTTTTAATTTTTTTAAACCATATCAATACCTGCCTGTATGCAAGTATCATACAACTCCAACTTTGTCAGTATCTTAAATTTCAGAATTGTGAAAATTTTATTAATCTTAAAGTTAACTAAAAGTTTGAAATTTTTTTCCATAATTTATTGAAAAATCTCCTTGTTGGGATGAATGCATGAGTCACCAAGTAATGAGAAAAATAATGTTCTTTTTTTTTATACCATCAAATGATTTGTTGTGTGTCAGGTCTATGTTTCTATTCAAAACCTATCAACTGTATGTCATTAATGTTAAGTCAAACTGAATGTTCTGCATGTTAAACTTACCAATGATCTTTTGTATATCTGGTCGAACCAAAGGTTCCCCACCAGTCAGGCGTATTTTATTGACTCCCTGGGACACAAAGAGCTGAGATAACTTGAGAATCTCTTCAGTACTGAGAATATGATCCTTGGGGGACAGCTGAACACCCTCTTCTGGCATGCAGTACTGGCCTAGAATAAGTTATACAAACACGAGAATACATAATTAAAACAGTTCCTCATTCCCCTTTACTTTGGATGATGTATAGCTTACATAAATAGATTGTTCATGCTGATCCAAGACTCCACCATTTATATCCTATTGTCTCCACTATTGCAAAGAGAAAAGTTATAATAAAATTCATTTTAGATAGGACAAGAGTTGGTTAGGCAGGAATGGGTTAGGAAGGATTGTGTTAAGCAGGCAAGGGGTAGGCAGAAGTAGGTTAGGAAGGATTTGGGTTAGGCAGGCATGTGTTGGGCAGGAGTAGGTTAGGAAGGATTTGGGCTAGGCAGGCATGTGTTAGGCAGGAGTAGATTAGGAAGGATTTGGGTTAGGCAGGAATGTGTTAGGCAGGAGTAGGTGGTTAGGGAGGATTGATTTTGGCAAGAGTGGATTTAAGGGGAACCTTCCCCTTTAAGTAAGGTCAGAGACTTTTATGTACTTAACAGATTCAATATTGTTTTGTTAGAAAACATATTCAATTTTCTGTAAGAAACAGCTAACTATTAAAAAAATTTTTATGAATTTAAAAGTAATAATTTACATCTAAGATTGCAGCGCTCTGTTAAAGAAATACGTAGATAAGTGTGCTGTCTGCCAAATGTGTCTGTTAAGAAGTCTGCAAATGGATGGTCAAACGTGGCAACTCTGTCTTTAACTCTTTGCTGTTAAAATTTTAAAAGGAAGAGCAAATATGAGATGATTACAAAATTCCATCCATTCATAATGAATTATACTTTTATAAGTCTATTTCATGCAATTAAGCATAATAATAATCAAATTTTAAAATTTTAAAAAGAATTCAAAGGCATTTTTTCAGTAATATTTTGGCTGTGAAATAATAAAATATTTTATAAATCTTAAAGTAGAGCTAAATTGTTACCAAAATAAGAATCAAGGTATAGGCCTATGTTTTTTTTTTTACAAATAATAATATTAAGAAATTTTTAGTGTTTAAGTTTAAAGAAAAAACATTTCAAGTTTAAATTATAAATATTAGGATAATAGGCAATAGGGGGTTATATTCATTCATTGATTTATAACTTAAAGTTTTATTTTACCTTCAAAGGTGTGTTAATATCTCCTGACGTTGTGGGCAAAATTTTAGCAGGAGCCAATGTTGAGCAGAATTTCCTACTACCCCAACAATGACGGTGATGGTCACAGTTAGCAGTTACCAATAGATTTTTTGATAACTTTCCATGATGGCCTATATTGCTGTTTATCATAAAGGCTCTCCATACACTTTCATCTAGTAGTACTGTTGAAGTGATGCCCTTTTTAATGAGGGGCATGGCCATTTCAGTGAGAGTACACATGGTTTGATCCACAGTGAATACAGCGGTCTAATCTTACAAAAGAAATTGAGATGGAAATATCTAGAAAAGCCTCCAGAAAGTACAAAATTCAATTTCCATGAAATATGAACATTAAAACAACAAAACTAATTTGACTGGCTCTTACTCTTATTCTATTTTTAAGTGTCATCTATTTTCAAAATGTAGCATGTTATTATTATTATTAATAATCCATAACCAGAAGCCTAATTTGTCAAAAGTATTCAAATTCAATTTAAAAAGGGCTATAAATTATAGTATAATCAGTTCAAATAATAATAATTAGGCTATGTTGACTAGACACTCAATCACTAGGACTAGGCCAGATAGGGCTTACCAGTTTCTTCAATAGTAATAGCATACAACAAATATTTGAAAGTGAAAGTTACTTTTAAAAATAGACTAAAGTAAACAGCTGACCTGCAGACTTCCTATTTACTAACTGGTTAGTTATCATTAGTCATATTAGCAAAAATAAAAAAAAATAAATATTTATACAATTAGCCTATCTATAAGTATAGTAATATTTTGATAGTCCACCAGCTACCAGCATCATGCTTGGGCCCTTGAGTATCTGAATAACTACTGAGAGACGAACTGGGCACCAGCTGTAACTGTAATGGATATGAATATGGATGGAATCGTGAATTACCATTATAAATTACAGTACAGCAGCTACTTTACACGATCACTATTCTGATTTTTTTGTAATGGCATGCACAACAACAGCTTACAATACAGCTACAACTAGAATTCTACTGCAAGTAAATACGACGATGAGGAACTGAATTATAGACTTATATAATTAGTGTAACTGTAGCTCAATTTTCTATAGTCTATAGTCTATCTATATCATCATGTTGTGTACTCAAACCGATCAACACCGATCTTACTTTGACGATATGCACCGTATTACACTCTTAACCGACATTGAATGGTGTGATAGTTACTAGTAGGCTTAATAGATATTAGCGCTGGAAAGGAGAGTATCTATGACGGAAATAAGTAGACCAAGAACGAGAAGGAAAAAAAAAAGGTGAACGATAGAAGGTAAAATGCTAAGTCACGGCCATCGTTCCCAAGAGGTCATAACAAAATATGTGATTGAAATTGCATCCAGACCATGTTTTAAAAAAGGTTCTAATGTTTAAGGTTAAGCAAGACCCTATCTGATAATTTACTCGGGGAACATCTATTCAAAAGCTGTAGGTTGAATTACTCTGTACTTGATTGCTTTTTGGTGACTTTTAATAATATTTTTTATTCACTTCTTTCACTTTGATATATTTTTTCATAAATAATAATAATGAATTACACTATTAACCAATTTTTTTAAAACCTTACAATGCTAATATTTTTTTAGTTTTAGAACCCCTGGTAACCATGGTTATATTAGTACTTTTTCTTGTTTTCGTTGATTTTTATTTTCTATTTATCTTTTTAAAAAATATTTTTTCTAGCAGTAAAACAAACGTATAGAAGTCAGTGAGTGGCTTGAACTATTTACCTTTACCTGCAACGACTGATTTAATTTAGTTAATGTCAGAAGTCGAATAATATTATGATGAACTAGATAGTGTATGTGCAGTAGACTTTTCAACGTTATCACTTGCTATTGCCAACTATTGCTATTGCAATCTGATTCAGAGGCGTACAGAAGTTGCGGCGCCAACGGTAAAAACTAAATTTGCACCCCTATCAAGCTTGAGATACATATTTGTATATAATATAGATTAAGAAACAAAAATTCAAATCAAGCCACGCCTAGATTAAACAATACGTATTCAATGCAAGTAAACTAACATAAACAGAAACGATTTTTTAAAGCGTATAGGCCTCCCTTCCATGAAAAAAAAACAACATCTGTGTCTGCCAAAAATGCCCCCCCCCCCTTTTAGATATAAAGAAAAAGTGCCCACCCGGCAATGCTTAAATTCTTAATAGAGATAATTGTTGAAGAGGATAGACCAATTACCGACTGGCATAGGAAAAGTTGGGCGAAGGCGCAGGTGGGGGTGGTGCTCTCTGGGATTGGGGGGGGGGGGGAACGACGACACTTTTTAAGGGGTTGGAATTTCTGTCCATTTCAAAATGATATTAAAAGCTGAAAATAGTCGAGTTGATATAGCAATGTGGGACGCTACTTATAAGACCTATTATGAAAACTTCATTGTTCTGCATTGATAGATTTTGCGCCTTTCGAATTACCGCTTTACTTAGACCACTCGTAGGCAGGGTTTCTTTCAGCTATATCTCCGACCCNAAATTCTTAAGTGCCCCCCCAAAACCTGGAATGCCCCCCCCCCCCGAAAAGCTGAAATGCCCCCCCCCCGGGGGTAATTTCTGAAAGAAACACTGCTCGTAGGCCTATTTGTCACATTTATACAAAAAAATCTATACTAGATATAGCCCGCTAAACATTGTCGACAGCAATGCATTAACTTCCAATCTACTATAATTACTTGACAAAACATGAACTCAAGTAACGCACATTTAACAATCACAATTTTTGCTACACCCCTTCCCTAATGATAAGTCACTGTTCACTTTTTATTTCACGCCCATGAACTATGTGTACACGTTGTAGTACAAGACAGAGCATTTCTTCACATACATTAAATTCATCAACGTCTTGCATGGCAGCATGTGTGCAAGAGAGAGCATTTTTTCTTCACATAAATTAAATTCATCAGTGTCTGAGCTATTCATATTTTTCGCATATTTTGTAAATCTATATAAAATTATTTCAAAAATTCATTGCAACATAATGTTTGTAATCCATTAACATCATATAAAAATGAATTTGAATTCCTTCAATGAACTGGTGAGTGGTATTGCTTCATGTGGCACTAAATTAAATGAACGCTTGTCTTTTTTATGTATAAGCAAAACTTGCATTACAGGTCTACACTTCCCCAGAGTATCAGATAAGGATTTTACCGTTAGTTTTACAAAATGTCTTTTTTTTTTTTCAAAAGATTTTCCAACAAGCTGTTGAGGTAGAGGAAAAAAATCCCAATAAATCTGATGAGTTAATTTTAAATATATATATATATATATATATATAT